GTTTTCTCGACGCGAGGGAAAATATTCGAAGAAAAGAAAAAAGACGAGTGTCCTTTGAAGGATTTGGATGATCGATAATCCGGGTTGGTTAAAGACTGTGGTAGATTGGCGATGACTTGGAGTATGTCTGGTTTATGAAAATTTCTAGGAGCGAGTCGGTTTTAAGACGACGTCAGCGTCTCTAGCTCCTTCTTTCCTTTAGGAAATGAGTACGTTCGAATGCGTGGCGATCGTTTCTCGTTTGTACGAGAGATTGGATCAGTTTGCGAGTTATGCCTGAATGGTTAGAGAACAACAAATCGAGATAGACAAAAATTTCTTACGACTTAGCATGCTAGACTATCCTCTAAATTCTAAGTTCTCTAGGTTTCACGGCAGTTTACAAAACGTTTTCGTTTCTTACCTACGAGAAATTAGAAGTCTAATAAATTTTTCAAGTCGGACATACCTTAGTTTCATCGATGAATTGGGATCGTCTATTCTTCGTTCTTCGTCTTTTGACTTACCGGTCTTCGACGAATTACCAGCAAGAGTATCGGAGTGAGGAGAATACTTAACCATCGGAGCTCATTTTCTTGTTTCTTCGTACTGCTGGTTTTATTTGACTGACTAGGTGCGCTTTGTATTTTGAAAAAATCAATCACGTGTTTATGATTGGATGTTTTCGACTTAGCTTGGCCGAATTTCGTAAAACCGGATTGGGTCTAGAGAGTTCAGATTTCTCGTATAGTCTAGGCAACTTTGTTGTTAAGTCAACCGTGCTGTTTTAGACGATTGATTCGAACTTATACGAAGAAACAAGTCTTCGTAGTTTTATCGTAAAATCCCGATGGAAATTCCGATTGAGACAAAACGAGAATCAGCGCGATCAAGACTTGAGAGAGAAACTCGAGGATTGGTTCAGCTCGACGTAGGGCAAGTCGGGTGAATCCTTTCAGCTTGCCGTGTGGCGATCTGGATGATAAGAACCCTTGGGGCGAAGTTAGCGTCTCTTGGGCGAGCTAGGCGCTTGGTTCAGCTCACCGTATGGTGAGCTAGCTAGCTCTACGTTCAGCGAGCTAAGACGCTTGGTGCGGGTGATCTCGATTCGTCGAGTTGACTTGTTTTCGTCGTAGAATCTCAACGGAAAGTCTGATTGAGACGAAACGAAAAGCGTCTCGATCAAGATTCGAGATGGAGATGTTTCGATCCGTCGACCTTGTCCAACTTGCCTAATGATGAGTCGGCGAGCACAGTCCCGATTCATCAAGCTATCTTGTGTTCGTTGAAAAATCTCAACGAAAACTTTGATTGAGACGAAACGAAAAGCAGTACGATTATTGTTTAGTGTACGGTCCGGCTCACCATAGCTATGAGTTGGATTGTGCGGACCCTCGGGGAAAATTCAGTGCCTCTAGGACAAGGTGGAAAGACGGTCAGCTCGCCAAGATGGCAAGCTAGGTTGCTTGGCCAACTCACCGTCTTTTCGGCTGGATAGTATTGCCCGATTCTGCGAGTAGCCTAAGGTTCTTCCGCGAGCAACCTAGGGTTTTTTCGCGAATAACCTAGGGTTTTTCCGCGAGTTACCTAAGGATTTTTCCGCGAAGAGCCTAGGTTTTATCCGCGAGTAACCTAGGATTTATTTCGCGAGTAACTTACGGTTTGTTCTGCAGTCTCTGGGTGAGCAAGTGTTATTTTCCCGAAAAGTTCTCGGAAAACGTCTTTTGCTCAGCCCATGAGATTTGTCCAACTCGGAAATAAGAAAAACACTATGGGGTTTGATAGATTTTATTGTTGCTCTTAGTGATCTGAGAGAAAAATCGTGAGCTTGTTTTGTTGCTCTTCCTGTGGCGAAGAGTAGCGATTAGGTTTTCGATTTTGTTGAGTACTACAGCGTTTGCGTGAGCGTTGGCTGTAGGAGTAGTCGCTGCTGGAGTTGTTTTACCAGCGTCTTTTTGCGAGTTGCGACTTTGCCTTTCATACATCCAGCCATCGTTTTGGTCAAGCATTTTACGGCTATGAGTAAAAGTAATCCGACCCCCCCCCCTCCTTCTAGCGCCAAACTGTGGGAACCGAAATTCACACTTGTCGATTTCCGTTAAATAAGGAAACTTAGGAAAACCCTAATTTTCCAGAGGAACCGGATCTCTGCGAAAGCCAGCGACAAGTAACCAAATAAATGCTGAAAAATACGAAAAACGTAATAAAACGAATTTAAAGAAAAAGTAGATCTTATTTCGATTTCGCGTAAGAGCGTTGCGATCACTACAAGGGTTTACAAAGGCTTTGGCCGCAGGGCCGTCAGCGAGTTATCAACATAAAAACCTTAAACCAAATCGAGTCGCAGCTCGATAACAAAAGACGGAAAAAGATAAGAAAAAGGATTTGATTGATTTCGGACTGAACCTTATGAAAGGCTGCCTACGTACCCCTTTCGAGGATCAAGTCGAACGTATTTCAGTTGATAGAGCTGGACCAGAGATCGAACCGCCTAGGAGAGTTCGTCTAGTAATTGAACGCCAGTCATAGAAACCGAACTTGTCGAGAAAAAGCCTAAGTTTCTAAGTGCGAAAAATTCTATGTCCAGAAAATTTCTAAAAGTCTCAGATGAGAGCTCTGAAATTCGTCCCCTTGCTTCTGCCCTATGCCTCTTGCTTATATATTCCCTTCCTAGGCGGTTTAGTCTTTCCATTTTGCCCAGATTCGAGTTTATCGGGAATCTTCCATTTATCTCGATCTTTCCTTTTTTCCCGCGGAAATCTTCTATTTATCCTCAAACTTGACATTTATCTTCAAGTTTGACATTTATCTTCTTTCTGCGAGTAAATCGCCAAAACGTCGTTGTATCTTTGGGTTGGACTTCGTTTAAAGTCGTGAGTGGCTTTTATCGCGTTTTAGGACTTTCCGAGCCGTTTTGCGATAAATCCGTTTTACGACTTTAGACGAGATCGTTTCCTGATAAGATGCCGTTTTTAGATAAGTTTCTCGAGTTAATCGCAAAGCTAGGCAATGTTCGATGTTTCGATTAATTGTTGCCATTTTCTACGATTTACTCGGAATTTTATTAAAAACGCGTTTTGTACGATTTTTACAAAAACTCTCGAATGAATCGTATAGTTTCGGCAATATTCAGTGTTTCGTTTAACCGTTGCCGTTTTAAAACGATTTCCTCGAGTTCTTTTCGAGAAAACAAAGTTTTACGGTTTTTATCGTAAAACTTGAGCGATAGGACGGATCGAGACAAAACGGGAGACATTTCGACCGTGATGTGGAATATGATCGTGTCGAAGGACGTATGCCTCGAATCAAGGATGCGGGAGATCGAGGCTCGGGACGGTCGGCTCGACGTACGACGAGCTAGTTCAGCTTGGCCAGGTCGCCATATGGCGAACTAGGCGATAGGAACCTGTGGGGCAAAGTCAGCACCTCTTAGGTCGCCCAACGGCGAACTAAGCCGGTCATGGCTTCGTTCGCCGTTGGGCGAACTAGCCGGGACGGGGCTAGTTCGCCGTTGGGCGAACTAGCGGGGACGAAGCTAGTTCACGTTTTACGGCGGTTTCGGTTTTTCGCGGTTTTGTAAAACGATTCTTAGAGTTTTATAAAACGATTCTTCGAGTTTTATAAAACGATTCCCAAGTTTTATAAAACGATTCTTCGAGTTTTATAAAACGATTCTTCGAGTTTTATAAAACGAATCTCGAGTTTTATAAGACGAATCTCGAGTTTTATAAGACGATTCTCCGAGTTTTATAAAACGATTCTCGAGTTTTATAAAACGATTCTCGAGTTTTATAAAACGATTCTTCGAGTTTTATAAAATGATTCTCAAGTTTTATAAAACGATTCTTCGAGTTAACGATTCTCGAGTCTTATAAAACGATTCTCGAGTTGTATAAAACGATTCTTTGAGTTTTATAAAACGATTCTTCGAGTTTTATAAAACGATTCTCGAGTTTTATAAAACGATTCTTTGAGTTTTATAAAACGATTCTTCTAGTTTTATAAAACGATTCTCGGGTTTTATAAAACGAGTCTCGAGTTTTATAAAACGATTCTTCGAGTTTTATAAAACGATTCTTCTAGTTTTATAAAACGATTTCTTTATATTTTGCGGAGACTCTTTCCCATTGATTCCGTTGTGACCGATTTTGACACCAACAATGTTAACATCCGAATGCAACAAACTATCGTCTGAGATAGCATCGGAGCGAACTAACCGACCCTATTAGTCAATGAACCAAATCTACGAAATCCGCCCCGACTTAAGTCATAACTCGGCAACGGATCTGGGGAACTTACTGTAGGCGGTGGAATATTCTCCTTCATAAGACTCACTGAATAATGGACTCGGCCCATTCGGGCCCAACGAGGTAACACCTCGTTGATTAGCGAGAGAGTTTAGCTTAACTCGAATAATCCCCGCGATTAACCGAGTTAACGACACTTAGCTGAGGTACTTACCTTAGCGGCCGACCAAGGCCCATCTGGCGAAAGGTCCTCCGTATACGCGACCAATTCGCTAGGTCAAGGGAGCGCGGCTATAAAAGGAAGAGAGAAGGAAACAAGAAGGGGATCCGAAATCATACCTACTTACAAGGCGGCTAAAATTAGGGTTTTCACTATTGTATTCTCCTTCCGACTTGTACGACACGGCCGAGCTCTCCGACCGACGCCGCCTTGCCTCTTGTTTCCTCATTTGTAAACCGGACTCTTTCATTGATAAAACTACTCTTCCACTCATAAATAGTAAAACGTCTTTGAAGTAACCCACAGACGAGTCCAGTCACTCTCTTACTGATAAGACTGAACTCGGTTCGAACACCTTCGACCCCTTGTCTATTCTCATTGTAAAAGCATCTTGTTTCTTCATATGTTCACAATTTTTTAGCATCGGATAGACACATGTTAAGTTGTTCAATGGACCCCATTGTTTATATGAACTTGTTAGCAAAACTTTAGGCTTTGGATTCACGTCTTTTTTACTGACATCTCCTAACTAAGACCAAGTAAAAACCCAGTAATTAAACCGGTCTGATACAATCAACCGCAGCAACAGCCTGATGCTTAGCTTCCAAACATAATCTATGAAACATGTTCATGTCAGAAGCAGATGCAATATTGAAGCTACATATAAGCTCTGTTCTTTTCGCCATCTCGTTTTGAGTGGCGATGTTTGAAGAATCCATTTCCAAATTTAGATAAACCGAAACTCAACCAAACTTGAGTTATGACGTGATCTTCTTAACCAATACGGCTCAATATATATGGTTACATTGGGCCTTAAACTATCCAAATAATTCTACTGAAATTTTTAATTTTATCCATATTGTTTTGGAGTTAACTATTTATCTATAAATTCATACACATTTTGTATTTTTCTAATTTAAATTAATTTTATTTTGGCGTAATTTCGTCGCTTTAATTATAGTTTTAAGCCTCGATGGAAACATGACTTTGAACTCACTATGTCTATAGCCATAGATCCATATATATAAATTATATAGATGGTGCAACAATATATATTATGGGTGTATGTTGTGGTCCTTCCATGATTATCTGAAAGATAATTAACCAATAAAAATCAAGTTTAGTTCATAGGATAGTATGAACTAATTTACATGTAATGGGTAATAATAAATTAGTTAGAGTGAATCTAATAATAGAAAGGTATATACCTCAGGGTGGACCTATCTTTCAAATCACAATTAGGGTTTATTCCATATAGAGCATGTACAAGCTTAATGACAGAAGTAATCATGAGTCATGACCCACTAGATTCATTAATGTTCTATTTTAAAATTACATCAACTTCGCTAATATTTTATTGTACACTCTTAATTAATACACTTGATCCAGTTGGTCATGAAAAATCCCATATAATAATTTCATTGTAGTTTTGCTGTCTCTTATATTTTGTTACAATAAAAAAACAAAAAATTTAATTGATAAAAAAAAATCAAGTTGGCACGGTTTTGTTGGACTTACAAAATAATTTTGATTTTCTTCAGTCACGGCTAGATGAAATCTTATCTGAATGAATGAACTATACATACAACAAACCAATCAGTCAATGGATTATGATCATCGATATAGATATATCATGATTTTTTTTGGGCAATAATAGTATATCATAATTAAGAAATTCGTTTTTTTCAAACACAAGAAGTCTTCAAAAAAGAAACAAACATAAGAAGTCTTTATCGTTGAACATATCTTTGTATATATATATATATATATATATATATCCCCTAATATCTATTAACATTATTTGAAAAATAATGTGACACTTATCATCTTTACAATCATTTTCACTAAAAAAATGAGATGTCATGTTAGAAAAAATAACATGGTTTATGAATTAATATGACCGAAAAATTATATTTAATGTATATTATATTGTTGGTAAAAAATTTAAAATATGGAAATAACTAATACATCATAATTAAAATATATACATAAGTGATGAGATGATTCATATACATGTTCATTTTGTTCAGAAAAAAATGACTAAAGTGAAATTATAATAAAATAGTTTTTTTTTTTTTAAGTTTTAGAATAAAATAGTTAGATCTTTTATTTGTGTGCAAGGCAGTACGTAACGCACATAGTGGCAGTGACCAGAAAATAGTACATGTGCACTATAAAAGGCTGTTTATAAAATCATAACATCACATCACTAACTGTGGTCAAAACAGTCCCACTACACGACGAACATTGTAAAGATTCAGATCCCTGAATTATTTTCATTTCCTAATTATTTGATATAGTTTAGTTCTATAGATATTTAATTCAATAATTTTTTTGTAGAAAAAAATATCAATACTTTAAAGTTTAAATCTATGAATTATACAATGTATCACATAAAATGCATAATATTTGTTCTACAGGCTCTATGTTTTATTTTCCACCGTTTACTACTTTAGGTTATGCTTTATTATTGTTTATCGTATTAAACAATCACAATATGTATTTTGTAACAATTATAATTTGAGAGTATTTACAAGGCCATGTTTATTGGGAGTTTTTAGGATGAGATTTTTAGTTTCGATAAAATACGTTTTTTAGATTTTAACTAAAAAAATTAAGAATTAGTTTTTAAATAAAAGATATAAAAATCAACTTTTAAAAAAAATATTAAATCATGAATTAATAATTCCACTTTAAAAACCTCTGTTAAACATGTCCTAATGCACTAGAATTCATTTGGTATTCTACAAAATAACTATAGCATAACGTATGTACACGTACACACGTCTATATACATGCATAGACGAGCGTCTGTACATCCTAGTTAGCATAAAAGCAATATATAACTTTTTGTATAACAATGGTTTCAGTTTTCACAATATTTTTTTTTCTTATTTATTATGTTTAGAGGTCAAGCGGTAAAATGTAAAATAAAACACATAAACATAAAGGATTGGTGAATTACCCAAATATATATGGACACAACAACAAAGAAGAAACCAGGTTATATAAGTTATAGATTTTTGTTGTATATACCTTTGTTTGGCATAATTTGTTGTGTTATTAGGATTGGAATTTGTTAAAAATGAATTGGAAAAGCAGAAACTTAAAACTAAAATAGTAGACACAATAAAGTAAAAGCACTATTGTTATTGTTTGAACAACCTAGGGATATCTGATAGGTCAAGCCTAACCGCACTAATTTTCTAAAGTTTTTTCTAACGACGCTAGACAGATCCAGTTGCCCGCCATAGAAAGTAGATATTCATATTGATAAACACACAGTCAGTATATCTGAACTAGTAGATTTCGAATCCAAAATACTTAACATTTATACAAATCCATCTTATCACGACGTTAAACAGATCCAATTGCTCATAATAAGAATTAGATATTCATATCCTATAACCACACAATTATTTTATCTGAACTAGTAGATTTTGAATCCAAAATGCATAACATTTATCAAAATCCACCTTACTATTCGATCATGTTTGTATGGTTAAAAATATAGTATTTTTGTTATGATTTAAAATAATCAATAATAATGAAAGTATGAGAAACCTTTTATTTGAAAAAGTTAAAGTTTTGAGAAGCCATCAATAAGTTTTCATATTTTTAATGGTATGATTTTCAAATATTAGGATTAATTATATTGAAATCAAAATATATGTTATAGTTTAATTAACTGTATTCAAGAGCGATAAATAGAGAGTAAGCATAAATTTGGGTGACCAAGAAGCAGACACGTGCACTGGTCTGGTAAAGGCAACAGTGATCGAGAAGTCAGCAAGTGTCCGTTAAGACAGCGACACGTGCTCTCGAGCCCGTCGTGAACCACTTGCTCCTCTTTTTGCTTCTCGTTTATTCTTCTTAATTACTACTATTATTGAATTCCACAAATCACATTAACTATCCCCCTTAACAAAGTTAATTCAAATTGAGCGAATGCAAACACATGTTTAGCTCTTAAACTAATCTCTAGGTGTTTATTCTATGAATTTAAGCGGTGTGACGTAAGATATGACATAATATATATTATAAAAATATGGGTATGCATTCTTGATCAATATGATTAGTAGGTGGAAAATAAATTTATAAAGTTTCTAAAGTAAAAAGTAGTTACATATAGTATATAAAGTTTATTCACAAAATTGGTTCTGCGAATCCTCTCATCGAAGCTGTTATTTTCTACGGAACGGAGGTTCAAGAACTTCTTACTCTCAAAATCTATTAATTGGGGTTTTTAAAGTCGTTTTCGATTTTTTTGTTTTCCTTTGAACATGGACTTTAAAAATATAAATGAAGTTTTTCTATGGGTCTACTTCTCCTTCGCCACATTTACTTCTCATTATGTTTTAGTTATTTTTGTTTATTAGTTCATCGTCAAGAATTTTTCCGATTGTAATCGACTTAACTCATTAGACTTCTAATTTTAATATAAGCATTTGGTGTTCAAAAGAAAGTATATATGTTTGTTGCATATATATATATATAATTTTAATATAAGCATTTGGTGTTCAAAAGAAAGTATATATGTTTGTTGCATATATATATATATATATATTGTTTTATTTGCATAAATATGTGTATTGTTTGGGTTGAATATATCTTCTTTTTCTAATGAATGTTAGAAACAAAAACACTTTTGTACAATAGGTATATCACAGTTTGAAAGGATTAAATTAGGGGCGGTTACGGATCGAATATCGGGTATTTGGTGGTATTCGTGATCCTATATGTTTCATCCGAATAATTAGTTATCCGATTCAATTTGATTCGCAGCCACTCGGATATTCGATGTTTTGGATATCTGAAAAAATTAGATTTTTAACCGAATATCGGATTCGATCCATAAAATAAAATAAAAAATTACATATTTTTTTATTTTTTCAATAAAATATTATTTTTTTATATTATTTTATTTTTATTATTTTAATAACTAATATAATAAATTTAATAATAAAAATATAGTAAAACTTAATATAAAATATAACACTGATATAAAGTCTATATATACTTCTTTAAATATGTGTATATATATATATACATTTCGGATCGGATCGGATATCCGTTCATAAAAATATTAGTATTTGTGATTTGCTTCGTTTCTTACAAATAGTACATTTTAGTCTTTGTTCTTTTCGTAGAGTTATTGATATCTAGATTTTTTGGTTCGAGACGTATCGAATCAAAATTTAACGGATATTTTTCTAAATCAAGATTCTAGAAACTTTCATCAAATAGCAAACAACACTCCCGTAGCTTTGCTATATCTTCCATGTCTAAAGTTTGAATATCATCGCTAAAGCTTGGACAACTCACTTAATACTACGTGAAATTTAGTTTAAACAACTTTTGCAGTGTCACATGTACTTATTATGGCTAATTTTGAGCTGATTTCTTGATCTTTTAATACAGCTTAGGGTGAATAAGAATATTTATACAAAGAGTCAAACAAGTTGATGGATAATACTACATTTATTTTGAACTCTCGACACTAAGTAATGTTTTCTTTTTGAACTGGACACTAAGTAATCTTGCCAAGCTTATAAAGAACACTTCGTTGATCAATTGTTAAAGAGATCAAAATATGTTATCGAATTAATTTGTTCATACTACGTATAAACACTTCACATTTTTTTTTTTTTTTTGAAACAGATATGTTATCGTATAAACACTTCACATTTTGATTTTATTTGTTTGGCATGTTTTATAAAAGAAGAAGACAAAACTATTTTTTCACAAGATAAAACGATTTAACTCATTGTAACTACAGTATAACCTCTTTAAATTAATAATTTATAAATTAATATCTCTATAAATTAGTATAATTTCATAGTCCTAAATTCAATTTTTGGTTCAATAAATATCTCGATAAATTAATAATCTCTATAAATTAATAAAAAGTTTAGTTTTGTGTAGTCCCAACATTATTAATTTATAGATGTTTCACAGTAGGAAGACAAAATGCTTAAAGCAGATATTTACATCTTGTGCAAGTAACTGTACTCCATCCCCACACGTTTAAGAATTTATTTGTATAACAATCGAGCACAAGCTACAGAGGAAAGTAGGTAACTGTATTCAAGTTCTGTAGGCACATACGCCTAGTTGAAGAGTATCCGACTTAATTTTTTGCTCTGTCTTTCTTTTGATGTCATATCTCTTTTTGTTTTAAAAAATTATCATCGGAATATAATAACAGCTCAAAAAACTTACTTATAACTTGAAATATGAAATTTTGAACATTCCAAAAAAAACTTAAAACCGTAAATTTCAAGATTTTAAATAATGAAACCTCAAATATAAGGTTTCAATGTTCAAAATCTTATATTTAAGACTCTTACTTTCAAGCCATTACACTTATGTTCTCTCATATAATCATTGATATTTATCAATGTTTATTTTTATCATTTATAATTTAAATATCATATATATAGTTAAAATATTAAAATACTATTACATTCTATGTAAATTTGATTTTGAATTACGAAAATATCTAAAATGTTATCTGTATAATTTTGGCTTTATCGAAAGTCATTATTAATGAATTCATGTATTATACATTTATGTTCAGATTGAATAAATTCATAGAATATATTATTAGAAATGATATTTAGTTATAGTTTTAAAATTAATAGTAAGGACTAAAGTGCATAAATTTATAAAAGTGTACATATATTGTATGATTTTAACTAATTTAAATAAATAGTAAGGACTAACGTGTAAATCATTTTCTTTAAGATTCAATATTAAATTTTGTTTTGGAGAAAAACACCATCAAACCTTATATTTGAAGTTTGTTAAACCTTAAAATAAATTTGATTTTGGAGATGCTATGACCACAAAAGTAACCGAATACATCATTTACAGTCATCAGACAAAATCTTTTTTTTAGTGGTCACAGTACCAACCTAAACCATGAAGGTGGTCAACTTAACTAATTACCGTTGAAGGCATATCTACAAACTACTCAGCTTCTACATCTATTCCTTTTTCATTTGCACAAAATATAGGATCCGATTGGTAATGGCTGTAGCTTTAAAGTTTTTGCTGTAGAAAAAAATCTGTAAACTTTTTGCTGTGGCTTTAGATTTTATTGCTGTAGATTTTTTGGAAAGCACTAAAAAATTGCTTTGGATATTTGGCTCTGCAAAGCACTTGTATAGCTGTAGATCATTTCAGAAGCTGTGATTTCAAAAAAAAAAATTAAAACTTAATTGTTCTAAATTTAGTGCTGTAGAAATAAATAAGGCTGTGGACAGCACCTACATCAACTACCAATCATCCCCATACTCTATAGCTAACGAGCTCACATCAAGGATTTATTTAGCTATTACTAGTAAAATACTCTTTCCATTTAAAAAGGATAAATTTTTAGATTTTTTACACATTTTAACAAAAGATATTAATATTCAGTATTAAATGTATAAATTTTTATGGTTATCTATTTCCCATAATTCTACACCAACAAAAATTCAGTGAACACAATTAATTTTATTAAAGTTTATCATAAATTTTTATTATTTGATAACAATTTATTAAAAATATAAAATATATATCATTTAGAAATAATGATTGTTAAAATATGCATTTTTATGAAACGTAAGCAGTAGAAAATGTTTTGTGTATGTCTTATTTGATGCCAAAAGGAGACAAAAATCGTCCTTAAATAATTAAATTACTATGTGTTCAAAAGAAAACAACTAAACTATTTTTTAAAAAAAAAAAAAAAGCAATGAACATTGAATTTATATCATGAATACTAGTACTAAATATGAACAATAATAATATAATTCAGATATTTTGCAGAGGAATATGGCAATCCAGTGAAAAGTCATGTAATAAGGGGTAAAACTGGAAATAAACAGAGAAGACAGGTTTGTGTTCAATCTCTCTCTCTCTCTCTCTCAGATCATCACTTCTTTAAATCACCATCAAAGAAATTCCAATTTTCTCGGATTTTCTTTCTCAATTTTAATTCTCACAATCCCTAAAACCCTAGCCCTCTTTCACGCGACTCATCTCAAAGCTCAAGCTCCTCTGTTCCTGTAAGTCTCAGATTATTTTATAAACTTTCGAACTTTTCCCGGAAAAATAAACTAACCAGATAAAGAATTGGAATTTTGATTTTTTTTTTCTTTTTTTGCAACTATGATTCGAAAATCCAAGTTTAGATCGTTGATTTAGATTTCTTGATGAGAATTTCTAAACCAGGAAAGCCAAATTCAGTTTAGAAAGAAACCTATTTGTTTTATAACTGTGTTTCATATATACAAATCAAGCAAGAGCGCTTGACACCTGTTTCATCTAGAGTCCAACGATCTGCATAGAATCCAGAACACTACAGCAATAAATTTAATTTAAGTTATCTTCTTGTTGGTAACTATGAAACAACAACTCAACTTATTATATATATTTCTTTTCATAATTAGAAACTCACCAAAATCTTTATATAGAGATTGAACTCGATTTCTGCATTTTTTGTCTTGTTATTATCTTTAAAACCTCCACTGATAAACGCTTCAGCCGAAAGTTGATGTGTTCATAACAACAGTTAGACTAGCTTATTTTATTTTATCATAGCTTCTGATTCTCCAAATAGCTCTTCTTTGATTTCTCACTTTAATTATCTTTTTGCATATTAAGTGTTATTAAGACCATCTACTTTGATCAAAATCCATCTTTTTAAATCTGTCAGATCTAAATGAGTAGATCATAAATTCGAATCACAATAACTGATATATCTTAAATATGTATGTATATATATGATTAGAAAAGCATATATGTATATATTTATATATATAAAGATTTGTTCTTATGAGATTGTTCCATCTTGTTATTGCAGGCTTGTGGCTGAAATTGTTTCAGACAGTGCTTTTGATGACTCTGAAACACAGCTGCAGACAAGCTTAAACGAAGCTGTATCTACTGACTTTGATGGTGAAATATCAAAAACCCTAATTTAATTCAATTTTTTTTTTTTTTACACTGAGGGTTTTAATCATCAATGCTTACCACAGTACACTGGGTAAGCAATAAAGTTCAAAGTCCCATTCTCCTTTAAATCCCAAGAAAACCCACCAAAAAAAAAACTAAACTTCAGATTTTAAATTTTGGGTGAAACAAAAAAATGCCCTAAATGGTTATAGAGAAGCTTAGGAATGAGATTATTGGTGATGATGAAATGATTGGAGATCTGATGAAGAACAACAATGGCGACGTCGTGGATAACAACAACAACCGGTTAAGCCGGTGGCATCACAACTCTTCAAGGATCATTAGGGTTTCAAGAGCTTCCGGTGGTAAAGATCGACACAGCAAAGTCTGGACTTCCAAAGGCCCACGTGACCGGCGTGTCCGGTTATCAGTCTCCACCGCTCTTCAGTTCTACGATCTTCAAGACCGGTTAGGTTACGATCAGCCCAGCAAAGCCGTTGAATGGCTTATCAAAGCTGCTGAGGATTCCATCTCCGAGCTCCCTTCGCTCAACAACACAAATTTTCCGATGAACGATGACGACGAGAATCAGATTCAGACAGTAACTGGTGCTTCTGCTCCTGCGGCTAATTCGTTGTCTAAATCTGCTTGTAGTAGCAATTCAGACACGAGCAAGAACTCTTCTGGTTTGTCTCTTTCGAGATCGGAGCTAAGGGATAAAGCTAGAGAACGAGCTAGAGAGAGAACAGCTAAAGAGACCAAGGAGAGAGACGGTAATAACAACAACAACAACAACCACCATACGACTTCGTTTACCGATCTGTTAAACTCCGGTTCGGATCCGGTTAATGCTAACCGGCAATGGATGGCTCCTTCTTCATCGCCTGCTCCTATGGAGTATTTCAGCTCCGGTTTGATTCTCGGGTCGGGTCAAACCCATTACCCGATTCAGACAAATTCTCATCCTTTCTCATCAATCTCCGACCATCAGCATCATCCTCATCCTCATCAAGAGTTTTCCTTCGTTCCCGACCATCTGATATCTCCGGGAGAATCTAACGGTGGTGGAGCATTCAATCTCGACTTCAACATGTCTACAACCTCCGTGGCGTCCACCGGGTTCAGTGGTTTCAGCAGGGGGACCCTTCAGTCCAATTCATCTAATCATCATCAGCAATCTTTTCTCGCTAATCTACAGAGGTTTCCATCATCAGAAGGTGGTGGAGGTCCACAGTTCTTGTTCGGTAACGGTGCACTGCCTGCAGAGAATCACCACCCCCACCACAATAATCACAATCACCAGTTTCAGCTTTACTATGAAAATGGATGCAGAAACTCTGACCAAAAGGGCAAAGGCAAGAACTGATATGTTGTTATTTACCATTTGCTTCTTTTGTTTTAAGTTTCTTTATTTGTTTTTGCTTCATTCATCCCCCAAGTGTCAATCTTCTTGGTTTATCTTTTGATTGTCATCCTCAATGTGTTAAATCTGTTTAGGGGTTTCCCTTTTTGTTTACTGGTCCAATTTGGAAATCTTTTTGAATTGGATTTGTAATGTTGTATTTGTGATAATATCATTTTGTTTGTGGTTTATTATCTTTGGCATGAATTTTTTTATATATACCTCTTTAGTTAATTGTTATAGTACTAAGATACTGTTTCTTGGTAGTCATGAACAAGTATAGGTCAAGGTAGTAGGGCGAGCCTTTTGAGGATACTAGATTGAATCAAATCAAATATCTGAAGAAGAAAATACAGAAAATAAGTGAGGAGACAAGAAACTTAAAATGAAAATATACAGATTTCATATTGATAAGGGGAAAAATAATTACGATAGATAAATGAAACTGAAAATTTAGGGCAATGCCCATTATGTATTGAAGAGAGTGAAAATTAAGATGATTTGTCTCCTGTTGTGATCTCTGTTTGGTTCCCTTCTTCCTTAGCATCTCTCTCATGTCTTTCTTTCTGTCTCTCTCTATATGTATTGTTTCATATCTATCTATATACATATAGATATATCTTCCACATCTGACAGCTGTTGTCTTTAACAATGGCTATTCCCAAATTTTCATAATTTTTGTTATGATCTGTTTTTATTATTTTAAGTTTTTAACTTTTTGTTTCATGGGCTACTTGATCTTCTTCTGCACCCACATGGCTAACCCATCTTTTAGGGTACTAGACAAAGTCTTATTAAATTCATTCTTTTAGTTGTTTATTTATTTTAGGAAAGCTTTCAACTTTCGTGTGGTTTTGGGATTTAAAGTAAAGTTGGTGTACTTGTGTTTCATGTGTTCTGAGGGCTTTTTTCATGTTTAAAGAAAATAAAAAGGATTCGTTCAAGTAATCTCTACAATCTTAATTACATTTAAAGTTTTGCTGATAAATGATAAGAATATCGTTTTTGAGTCCATAAATAATATTCTAGACTTTGAATTAACACTTTTCTACTGTAAGATATAGTGAGTTGACACAAAAAAAAAAGGGGTAAGATATAGGGTATCCAGTTTTGCTTCTTTCGTGAGTATTAAGGTATTTCTTGGTGTACCGAGTTCCAATGTTTAATATCGTCTCTGTTCATCATCTTTAGCGCACACTTTTCGAATTAATTACTCTTCTATCTGCATCTTCTGAACGAAGAGAGTCAAATGGTCCTTACTATTATGAAAAGTTCTGTCACATTTATAATGATTAAAAGATGGAGGCAAATTAATATCGTTTGAAGTCAATGGTCCATATCTACAAACTAAAAATCATAGAAAGAAGACAACAAAATGAAAGAAGTGAAATGGTCCTTTCGAGCATTTTTCGAAAATGGATCACAAGCCAGTTCAAAAACAAAAGAAAACTATAGACGCCGTAGTTCTAGAAACTAGTTTGTAACTGAATAAAATTTACATTCTCCGGTAGTTTCAATAGAATAAAGTTTACATTTCTCTATGTAGTATACCAGAAACAGTATAGTTGATCGGAAAAGGATACTATTTATAATTTAATTTCGCCATAGGTTTTGTTTTGTGTTTCCCCTTACGTGAATTGTGTTTAGACTGGAAATTTTAGAACCTTAGCCAATTAAGCCCACTTGCGTTCTTAAACGCCCAAACTATTTTTTATATAACAATGATGTGTGTGATGTACTGATGTTGTCCGTATGGTAGTAGAGGATTCAGACATGTTTTGTTTTTAAAATGGGAAAAAGAAATTTCAAACAACATTTGTATGTGGAAGTGATGTTACTGTTAGAGACGAAATTCACCTACTCCAAGCCCGGTCAAAAAACTCGATACAGTATCTTTAAAAAACTGCAAAAGAGGCCCACGAAGGATAAAGGCCCACCCAAGCTGGAGGAATAGTGATCTCTGAGCTGATGCGATTAGATTACAACATAAAAGAGATGGTATTAAAGGCGTTTTAAAGGTACCATTATGATCTACACCTAAAAACCTAACTGAAGAACCAAAGAGAAGAAAAAGAGGTATCCTAATTTCTTCATAACAAACTTTTAATCTAAATACCTTTGTATTCTCTTGTTTTTGATACCCCTTGGGTCTCCATAGATGTATCAAATCACATTATCAATAAACATATATTTTTTCATACAAGATCATCAGTAGATATTTTTTTTCATAAGTTACTTATTCGTCACGTTTACATAAACTATAACCCTAATTTTTAGTTTGATTTTGAGATTCATCGGTTACTCTTTCACTCTAAGAAAACAAGCCGATTCCCAACAGAATTCATAACGGAAAAAATTTGTTAGGAATTCTCGACAAACCTAATCAAATTGATGATTCATACCTTACGGAGGCAAAAAAATTGATTTCTGTGGGGGATTTTCGACAGATTCTAGACGAAAAAAGACTTCACGATAGATTCTAGACGAATTCAGTTTATGGTCTTAAAGATATAATAATAAAAGGGTTGGCAGTCTCAAACACTCAATATTTTTTCTTTCGCAATAAAATAACCTAAGGTAATTGGATTGAATTATAACTTCAAGGTAATATTATGTATACTTACACAATAGATATCTTGGAATTTTGTTAATTATTTTCCAAACATTTTAAAATATATATTTTTTTTACTTAAAAACTTATTATATATGAAAAACGTTAAAAAGATACTTTTAAAAATTTGGCAATAGTATATTAAAAGTTTTTTTTCTTAGCCAGGAGGTTATGGCTCTATCTGGATTTAGTCCAGACCATAATCCCCCCAGGGTGCCACTAAAACTGGGTATTTTCTTATTTAAAATATGTTAATTTCTGAATTTAAGGATATAAATTATAAGATTTTAAAAAGGACTTTTAATATAAATTATTTATAATTTAGGTCTTTATTAACAATATTACTATTTTATTTAATTTAAAATTGAAAACAGAATTAATTTTCTTTTATTTTTGGTTGACTTTCACGAATTCCTGACTAACTTCATTGAAACAATTTCATCAAGACTTCGTCGAAAATATTCCCGAAGGACGAAATTCATCAAAAAATTTATGACGAATTCCTGATAGATTTGCGATGAACATTTACCAATGGCGATAGTTTATCAGAAATTTGTTGAACTTTTTTGACGAATACCTGACAATTTTTTTGGACACCCTAGTTTTGATAGACGATTTCTTCAGGAATGCTCATTCCTGATGGATTCCCGGCTTTTTTTGTCCAGAATTGGTTGTTTTCTTGTTTTGTTTACACATCAGAGTCAAAATATAACTAACCATGTCTTTGTTAAAAAAAAATTAAACATGTCTTTACTTTTGTTGTGGTTTTTTCTTAAAGGTAAGCTATTAACTTCCATTCGATGATTCTTTTAACCCTGTTTGTGATGCTACACAATTGATGTCAATAATTCTTTTAGGTACTTGATGGGTTGCATGGAGAAGTTAGGTACTTGATACAAAAGTATGGTATAAGTGAACCCGAGATTGATAATGGGACGGCAGTTGAAGGAAACGAGTTGATAATAGAGTTTCTGAATATGAAGAAAGAGGTTTTAAACTGCAAAACCGAGTTCCGTAAACTCAAACTTAAAACATGGTGGTGGTTGTTCTGTGTTTATGTGTGTTTAGATTTTTGTTATCTATCAGTTACCACATTCTGTATGAAAAAGTTGATAAAAAAAACTTGTCGTTGCTAATAGGTGAAATTCATTTGTATTTTTGTAAGACAACAATGTATTTCGGATTTGCCTATCTTTCTCTATTTTTCACTTGATGTCTCATTTGTACTCTTGTATATAATAATGGTAAGAAGTGAATTTTAACATAACCTTAGACCATCATTAACCCTAGTCTTTTAACTAAGGTTCTTAACTTCGGCTAAGAGACGGTTATTAGCTTTCTTAAATTTTAACTAAGAAAAGATAAGAACGATTTCTTAAACAAAAGATATAAAAGCCGTCTCTTAGCCGAAAAGTGTAAAAAAACAAAAAAAATTCAAATCATGAATTAAGAATCTCGGCTAAGAGACCAGAGTT